TAGGGAGACGATGGAAAACGGGAGAGGGCGGGAAAGGGAGAGCGAAAAGAAAAATGTATATATAGAACATTCCCACCTTGATAAAAGCGAGATAAACGTGAAAAGGTAACGAATGAACGTATTAATAATGCGACGCAACCTCTCGTCAGGCGAGAGACGGCACTCTTTTCCTCGCCCCGGTAAAGTGGAGCGAACGATGCTTGAGAAGAGAGGCCGCGATTTAATCTGGCTCACGGCGCACACCATCATCGCCGCTCTACCATCACCTTCGCAGCAACTCGCTCGCTCGCTCGCTCGCTCGCTTGTTCGCCGACGGGCAGATTCGCGAGTGCGCATCTTGCCGAGCGCTCAGATTCCCCGGGACGATTAGCTAACCAGCAATAACGATTTACCGTGAATTATGCCCGCGGTCGCGGTTCACCCTATTAATATTGTTACGTCATACCCGTGTGGCGCGTTTGCGCCACGCTTCTCTTCTCGCTCGTATATACCGGATTCGAATTTGTAGCATCGTCTCTCGAACACTCGGGACATTCTCGATGCGTCGCGTCGATCCTTCTCTCGAGGTTCACGTAATCGCTCGAACAATGCGCCGAGGTATAGGTAGGGTACTAATCGAGAGCAGAGAACATATCCTTTGATCGTGTATTTTTAACCGAGTTGATTGGATTTGTGCAAGGCGTCTCTTGCGCAAAAGCTCTTTGCTCTTGTGCGGAGATATTACAGGGGGATTCTTTTTTTCTAGTTCTGGATGTGTGAATCGTGAGGAGAAATCAATTACGGAGTTAATTATTCCGCGAAATGCATTTCGCTGCCTTTATCTCCGAGACGACGCATACTTTTTTGCGAATGTAATCCATTAGACTTTTTGTTGCGATAGTTAAATTACTTTAATAAATGGGTAAACAATATTTAAACATTTTGCATACGTTAAAGTATTTCGACACAAGCGAGCTCTTAATTATACGCAAGCGCTATATCGTTATATTAATCTATAATTATCGATTGATCTAATTTGCACTTGGTTTTCAGATTAGTCATCGAAAGGTTCCCTTCCGGTGATGAAACTAGTAAAGATAAACATCAGTGTGAGAGGTGATGCAGCCTTGATGTCAATAATGACTCGAAGTAAATGGGTAGCGTAGATTTCTTACGATGATACCAGTTCTATAGATCGTAATTATTAAAGATTACAAGAGATAAGAGAAAAACATTGAGACATACACGCGTATATGAAAAAGTATCTCAAGATTCATTATCATCGGCCCGCAAAAAGCCCGCGAGATCACTGGGCAAGAAGAGTTCGGTTCAAGCTCAGGTTTGCACTCCACTTTAGGCAAAATTTTGCCTAAATAATGAGGTCAGACAGTTCTTTATCCGAAAAGTTCAATGTTACTTCCAAGACACAATCGAATCTGGATCAGAGGTGTTCAACTCTGACCTCGGGAGTGCCTGGCGTTTTTGCAAGAGCCGTCAAATTGATCGGCGATACGTACGTACGTATATTAGGAACGGGAATCTAGATTTAGAAAGCAACATTGAATTACCCGAACAAAAGAGCTGTCTGTCTCTTTCGATGACGTAACATACTTTTTCACGTTAGTGCTTCGTATCGCGTAATCGTCAAAATCATCGACAACGGAATATCACTGGCTATCACGCGAGTCATCATAAATTTCACGAAATCGAGAACTCGAAAGTCATCCGATCGTGTTTTCTACGTGAGAGATTTTCTAACAAGAAAATACAAGTTCCTCCCCGATGTGACGATCGATACTAATAACTTTACATCATTTTACGAACAATTTATCGAAAAAACGCACCCCGTTTAATAACGCAACAAGCATCTGACTTCATTACGATCTTGCAATTTGAGGCCTGATTGCGTCAAACACGCTGCACCGGCTATTGAAATGTTTAGCAATCATCGAACGAAGATCGAACATGGTAAACCGAGATTCAATCTCACGTTATGTCGGATAATATTTTTAATCGAACGTGTGCAATATTTTGTACCTGTGAAAATTACTATCTTGACATTTTACTGATATATCGGTATTATCAGTGCGTAAATAAACGAAAAGACTGATTTTAAAATGATTTTAACAGAACACGATGAGACAAATAATTTACATTAAATAATAAAATTGTAAATGAATATATCGTTAATGATCAATAAGAAAAGATCCATTCTTATCTCATAAAAGGTCCGAGAAGGTAAGTGGAAGACTGCAAAGTTATAATGAAGTTAAAGCGAAGAGTTACTGGGATGAATGGGATACATTGTCTTCTCAATCATGCGTGCGACTTCGCTGAAGGCTGCTTAGAGTCTCAGATATATATTACAAATACCTCATTATCTGCGTAATCTTGATTATCATGCCCATCATAATGGCCCCCGAATCCGTTCCCACCACCTTGTGCCCCATGATGATTTCCACCTGCGTAATTTCCGGGGACGCCGTACTGATTGCTGAGGGGTGGCTCGCACTGCACGATGCTGATGCTCGCCATCAGGGCGAGCAGTATCTTTTCAAATATATTCATTAAATTAATAAATATAATAATAATGTCAATATATATATAAGCTTCCTATTTAAAAGCATAAATATTTAAAGTGCAATGAAATACAGATATTTAATATTTAATAATTCTGTATAAAAAATAAATATTTGATATTCTGTCCTCAGATTAATAAATATTTAATCTTATAATAAAAAGAGAATAAATATCTCTATTGATTTTATTTTTTTAATATTTACTACAAACATAGCCAAAAAATTGCTTGCAGTAAGGTTTCAAAAAGTTTCTCAGGTGATTTGGGAAATATCTTTCTTTTCAAGATTATCTAACATAAGTGTAATAATTGAGAGTAAGACCGAGTGTGAGAACAAAAAAAAAAAGGATTTTATCGTAACAAGTTGACGTGTAAATGCTATGCGTAACAATAACGTTAAATGTATAACGAAATAATAAGCGAGCTCGCGCGAGGCAGAGAGCGAGTGGTTAAAAATGTACAGTCGACGGACGGGTGTAATTAGTCCCCAAAATATTTCCGATGACTTTCCGTGGGATGCTTTTCATGCGTCAGATGAGAACGTCAGATGATCAGCGACGCGCGCGTTGCGTAGGCGGGAAATTAGAGTCACGCGCTTCTATCTTTTCTTCCCTCGCCGTTTCTACGCCGTATCGTGAGAAGGTGCACGATATTACATCACCGGCACTTTAAAAACTGACGCAAGACTAAACATAACTGTAAAAGAATCAGCGAGCTCTTAGGCACATAATCATAAGTGACTTTTCTTCAAGAAAACGCATACATTTTTTTTTTTTTTCAGACAATTAAGCAGCTGCATTAACACGCTAACGTCTAGAAATGAGAATAAACTCCCGTGCAAACGTAAATCAATTTTATGCAATGTCGCGACATTCGCATTGAGCCGATACTTATGAAAAAAAAATGTATATTTTTGATTATTATATTTATTTCTTCTGTAATTATTATTATTAAATCAAACAAATTTGCATCAAGTATTAATCGTTGTATATAAAATTTTACTTGTTAAACATACATTTAAATTTTGATCGTACACATTAGATGATTTTTATGTATGCACTTATATATATTATATATAATATATATATTTGTGATTTTTATATATGTATGTACATAAAAATGTTAATATGAAATATATGCGATATGTATATTTATAAAATTTGTGAGCGAAAGAGAAATTGTCGATAAATCTTTAGAGTAATTCTCATTCAACAAACCATTATTTTCCAAGAATAAATACTATTAATGAGAACAATTCGAATTAATGGCAACTTCTTCCGTACCAATTAATTAATCACATTTCTCTGCTCTAATGAATAGAGAAATGTAATGATTGTGTACATTAGCATAATCATAATGTATCTCAACGCGTATCTTGTACGAATATGTAGATTAAATTACGGTCTTGGTAATGACAATGTTAGTGTGTTAGTAAGTATGTTAACATTTATTACATGGTAAGATGTAATCTACATAATCTTTCTCTTACTCCAGTTGTTATCACTTCTTCGTATTACCAGTTTAGTTTTGATTACTGTTTTGCAGAGTTTAAGACTACTTGCAGATAGACTAAAAAATTTTTTGGCTCTCTCACCCCTTTTCTATCATAATAATTTTTTTTTGACATTTAACGTTTGCAATCAAAATTTAATGCAGCAAACATACATGTTTAACATGTAAAATTTTATATTCAATAATTAGTAATCTAAATTTGCTTTTAACAATTACAGAATAAAAATATATATATAATAAATCAAACATCTTTTTAATTACATTGCATATTTTATTTTGCGTTTTTCGAATTTTGTCTTATCTTGATCGCGTAAAAAACAGTCCAACGTCTTGTTAATTAACAGAATGTTAATATTTATAAATAGATATGTATTCTGTATTAAAAAATATTGATTTACCATTTTTAATTTCAAAAACACAAGGATTGAAAGCGATATCAATATTAATATTTTTTAAAACAAAGAAAAAGAGAAAAATGGATGAAATGGAATGAAATATATACACGTAACGTTAAACGAAAACACTTAAATAACTTATTATATAAATATGTTTCAGAAAAAAATGTACATCTCCAAAATTTATATGATTAATTACTCGATATATATTTTTTACATTCCATTTTTATGCCAATAAACTTTAAAAATCAACCCCAGATCTCATTTCATAAAATTAGAAGACTTGCAATATTATATCGAAAATGTATAAAAGAGAAATATAATGTTAGTATTCCGTATAATTTATATAAATAACGGCTAAATAAATAAAATGAGAAATAATTTAAAACACAAATTTAAAAAAAAATTCGGAGATCTGTATTATTACAGATCTATATTCTTTCTTGATCCGTATCCTAGGAAAATTCTCATGCACAAGTGAGATAATAAAACATTTACCTTGTCTCAGTTTTCTCACGGTACAAATTGTTCCCCATCTCTCCCAGTTTCAGATTAAGATCTTAAAATTTTGATCCGTCACTAATAAACATGTTAGTTGTTTTGAATTAGAAATTTATGTCACTTGAGTACATGTTGTTGTTATGTGCTTTTACAAGTAGCATTTACAAGTCTCTCAGTTTTACGAAACGAATCCGATACAGATACCCGGTGTCAATTCGATTAACAGTTTAAATTTTTATCAAAAGCTCATAGCGGACCGTCATTTCGTTTGATTGGACACATTTACGATGACCCCCGGAAGCACACCCGCGATTACATGGCGGCCAAAAAAAAGAGAAAGGGAGAGGGAGGAAAAAAGTTAAACTGATCGTAACGGTCGATCGATTTATCGTAAAAACACGTATCCGACACTATCGTTCGCTACCCTCGTCACACGGGGGATTACCTGTCGCACTATCAAATCCATACTCGGAGAACAGTGATCGCGGGGGTGGGTGATGACGGCGGTGGTGCGAGACGACGCGTCAGACGGGTATCGTGTAGTAGAGAGGAAGAAGAGCACCGAAGACTGAATGCTGAAATATGGTGACGTTTCGGTGGGCATACCGGTGCTTATATAGAGAGAGCTCTTTCTCTTTCTCTCTCTTTCTCACTCTCGACTCTCCGTTTCCACGCCGCCGGAGAGGATCCGTTTCCTGTCGCCGCCACCACCGCCACCACCACCGTCGTCGTCGTCGTCCTCCTCGTCCTCGTCGGGGAAGCGTGCCGAGGGATTCGCTCGAGCGGCGTAGGCATCGGTATAAGAGACGGCGGCCGTGTGTACTCCAGTTCACATAGGGAAGCCGCGCGTGTGGAAAGCCCCCGCGGCTTCATTTTCCATTGTTCTTAGGCGGCGTGCGCGATTTCGGGGAGAATGCCGAACCGCGAGAAGAGACGAGCGAGGACGCGCGCCTCGAGGATAGACGAGATGAAGCGGAGTCGAGACGAGCAAGCCGCGGAGAAAGCTGATTACTTCATCGCGTGGGACAGCCCGCGGCGCGGCGCGCCTCTGCTCGCCTTCTTCGAGCGAACTAATTAGGCAATTGAGACTTAATTAAGTCGCAGGACCAATGGACGCGTATCCGCGATCGACGGTTCACGGGAATCGGCGATCGCGCTCGTCCCCTGGCTATCGAAAGAGAAGGAGGGAACGCGATGATAAAGAGAATGGCTTGCACTGACAAGTTAAACAGTAGCAAAAACATTAAAATGTTTTGCGAAAAAGACTTGAATGCCATAGAAAATTAAATATTAAATAAAAAGAAAGAATTGAATTATAATTAAATAATATAATATAAATTATAATTAATTAAATAATAATTAAATATTAAATTAAATTTTAAATACACTAATGGAGTTACAGATAGAATCGTGAACTGTTTAATTTAGGAGCGTGCATTTTATGCAAATTGCATAAAAGAAGTTAATTAGACGGCTAACGATAAGGATTTCTATATCGGAACTAAACCATCGAATTTAAATCTCGATTTGGCTGATATCGCAGAGATTTTCGATGAGATATCGATATCGCATCGCGAAAAAGAAAACGCCCTTCAATCGGAAGTACAGGCAGGAGGAGATACGAGCAGCGAGTGAGTGACATCGCTTCTGTTTCAACGGTTGCGCAAAATCTCGGAGGCCTTAATTATGCAGGACATGCCCGCACGTTCGCTCCGTAAATCCTGCCTTTCGATCTCCTTTGTGACGCGTCGTCAAAGCGTGCGCGCGCGCCTGAGGAAGGGCCCACGCTCATCTGGAGCATCGCTAACGACGACGCGCTCTCACCTCTCTCTCGTTCTTTTTTTTTTTTTTTTTTTCTTTTTCAATACGCACGCCTCTGCTCGCCTTCTTCGAGCGAACTAATTAGGCAATTGAGACTTAATTAAGTCGCAGGACCAATGGACGCGTATCCGCGATCGACGGTTCACGGGAATCGGCGATCGCGCTCGTCCCCTGGCTATCGAAAGAGAAGGAGGGAACGCGATGATAAAGAGAATGGCTTGCACTGACAAGTTAAACAGTAGCAAAAACATTAAAATGTTTTGCGAAAAAGACTTGAATGCCATAGGAAATTAAATATTAAATAAAAAGAAAGAATTGAATTATAATTAAATAATATAATATAAATTATAATTAATTAAATAATAATTAAATATTAAATTAAATTTTAAATACACTAATGGAGTTACAGATAGAATCGTGAACTGTTTAATTTAGGAGCGTGCATTTTATGCAAATTGCATAAAAGAAGTTAATTAGACGGCTAACGATAAGGATTTCTATATCGGAACTAAACCATCGAATTTAAATCTCGATTTGGCTGATATCGCAGAGATTTTCGATGAGATATCGATATCGCATCGCGAAAAAGAAAACGCCCTTCAATCGGAAGTACAGGCAGGAGGAGATACGAGCAGCGAGTGAGTGACATCGCTTCTGTTTCAACGGTTGCGCAAAATCTCGGAGGCCTTAATTATGCAGGACATGCCCGCACGTTCGCTCCGTAAATCCTGCCTTTCGATCTCCTTTGTGACGCGTCGTCAAAGCGTGCGCGCGCGCCTGAGGAAGGGCCCACGCTCATCTGGAGCATCGCTAACGACGACGCGCTCTCACCTCTCTCTCGTTCTTTTTCCTTTTCGCGAATACGCACGCCGATCCCTGAAAGGTGTCCTTGAAAGATCTCCACGCTCTACGCAAGACACCGGCGTGTCATCATCCTCCCTGTAATATTAATACGACGTGCACCGACGTGCAACGACCGTAACGATATGCTAATGCCGCAATACGTACGTAGCTCGTTACGTCAAGTAGTTAGACCGCGTAAGATCCGAACGGCTTAACGGGTTAACCCCTTTCGCTTATGGCGGGATCCAATTATGGGCATACTTCATCTTCGCCGTTGTTCAACGTTACAGAAATGTATGAGAGAGATTTGCGCGCGAGATGCTCGATAGTATGATCGGTGAACGGGCCGATATATTTATCGAGAATACACAAATCCTTCCTCTACGAAAATTCAAATTCGCGCGTCTATCTTTTCGCAATTTTTACGATTAAATTATATATCTGAATAAAGTTGAGATTCTGCTAAAATAAAATGTACTCAAAATTAATTGAACAAAAGGATAAAGGAAGTGGTTTGTACATGTAAAATAATTGTATCGCTTAAAAAACAAAAGTTTTGATTCACGATTTTCATCTGAATTATCAAGTCCATTTTTCCGGATCGTATTGTTGGTCGAGGAACACATTATCGTTTGGATTTAATGGAAGATGTCAAAAGCAATGGGACCACCCAGTCGGATTGTGTACGGCGTTCTTTACACGCGATAGAATCCCGCGGAGGTTTATTTGCTTTTAATGACGTTCGTCTCCGTAAGACAACAGCTCATATTCGCGAATTATCCCGCAATCTGTTGGCGGGTTGACGGCGCATTACGTGAATCGCGTTTAATACATCGGTCGACTCCATAAAGGCACTTATAGATAGCAGAAACGTTGTATACATCACGCGACTCTTGAGTAAATTTAAAGCATTTAATCCTCCATCACTCGAATCAGTTATTAAATTATCGTTTTTTTTTCTTTTTTTTTTTTTTAATTTTGCAGAGAATTAGTGAAATTAGTTGCATAAATGCATGTATAAATTACTATTAGATTATTATTTTTATCTACACATCTATTATATGTATATCGTCTCGAAAATATATATGGATAATATAATTAAATGATTAATCTATATTATATCTTTATTATAATACAATAAAATTAATATTATTACCTACTACATGTAGGGCGAGATTCGTCTCGTACGCAACGCGATCATCTTCGAGGAACGGCCGTTGCAGCGGATAGGGCGCCCGTGTTAAGGCACTTAACTCGGCTTTTCTAAGTGATGCGTTTCTCGCGTTGCTTGCTTTCTACCTGGAGAGCCACCGGTCAGAAATGCCGCACGGTGATACAATCTGATTTAAATTTGACGCTATTTGCTCTTCTTACCTATGATTACCTAACGGCGAATAATTCGTTTTGCAACACGCGCCGCGCACACGGTCACGCAATCTCTCCCTCATCAGCGTCCACCACCGGGGATCCACCTCCGTGCGCATAATCTCGGATGATGATTGTCGATTCATGCGTCTTGCGAGGAAAAAAAGCGCGGATAAGTAGCTTCGCTCCCGATCGTTGAGACTCGAGAGAGTGATATCCTCCGAAATTTTCCGCGAGATGCGATTTTACTCGTAGCATAGATCTCTCTTCTCGCGCGCTTGCAATAATTTTTCTTTCACGGCTTGAATGATACAGCTAATTCCTCAATAATGTAGCAGAAACGTATTTTGTTAAAATTATGCATCCGACAAGTCTGTTTCGTTTCTCGCGTGATTTTCCCACGCGAAAATTTCCATGCGATCTTGTTCAACATGATTAATGTCGAAAGAGGCCGAGCATTTCGAGTCGGAAAGTTTCTTTTACTTTTAATCTCAATTTTCAATTAAACTCCTCTTTAAATATTTTAAGCAAATCATCTTCTTTTGAAATTATTTTATTTAATAGTTTTATCGAACCTTCTTTAAGTGAAACTATCCGTTTACTGTCTACGTAAGATATAAGAAAAGAGAAAGATATAAGAAAAAAAAAAAATTTACCCTATATAAATTAAATCTATCAAAATCCTCGAAAATTAAAAAAATTAAAGTTAAAAATAGGAATAAAATTGACAATCCGATTTACATTTTACAGATAATTACAGAGAATAAGATGTATCTATTCGACGGGCGAAAAATTGATTTTATCTTTACTTTGATGCGTGCGCTTCTCGCACATATATCAATATCATATATAAACAGCTTATTTGCCGGAATGCGCGATCAAAACGCGTGAAGGTGAGAATCTTTTTTATACGGTTCGTTAAGTTAAACGTACAAGTTATTAAATCGTCACATTACATGTTTTTGAATAGTAAATTTACGTTAAATGGGTAGAATTACATTCAGAATGTAATTCGCAAACGTGTGCACATTCGGTATTACGGAAAATCGTATTGCGGTTCGTTGAGCGGTACGCAACGATGCTCTCAAAGATATATAAAGTGTTGCCAAATTTTATCGCAAATAGAAAATGCAGTCGGCCAGACTGAATACGAAGCAAATTGGGTAATGTGGGAAGGAAAAAATGTGCTCCCCCGCAGTGTTGTTGTAAGAGCTGTAAGAACCGTAATAGGCTTTCTCGCCCCAAATATTGCAAGAAATATTTAAAATAATAAACATTTTTTATATACACACATATTTTTTTATATTTTATCGATTGACCGAGCAAACTGCATTGAGATGACAAATTAAAATTCTATTTCTATACTTTGTTAGCGCATATTTAATCGATATTAAAGACAATGTTTCAGAGCTTATTTTCTATTTATAACACACTATCTATGTCGATAATTCAGCTCTCCAAGTATTGTAATATCATTGTAAATTCATGTATCTACTGCAGGTACAATATCTACTAATAATAACTTGGAGACTTGTAAAGATATATCGCAAAGAACTGATGAGACGCACGGTAATAGTCAAAATTTAAGAGATTATAATATATAATAACTAATATAAACTATAAAAAAACAATTTAGATCACTATTAAAATCAAGATAAATTAGAAAACGCAAATTTCCAATAAATACATACAAAATAAAATGATAAAATTTGCATTACAAAGCGAATCTTTTTTGTTACGAACGAAGAATTGTAAATTAATCCTTCTGTGTCGATTCATCAGTTTTCATTTTTTTTATAAATCCGAATAACGCAAGACATCTAAAATATTTCTTTTTCCTTTAGATATCTAATACATAACGCCCTTTAAACGCTTTGTTACATGTCTACTATTTAAATCGTGCTATCATAAACGATCGCGTTAATTCTCCACTTGAGTGGCGGTCAACTCATCGTATTGTACGGACGGTACCATAGGCGGCTTGAAGCCATACTCCATCTTCGACTGTCTGAAACTTCCGGGATAGACTTGCGTTTCCGGCTGCCTGGACCTCCTCAGAGCGGTGGTAGTCGCCGAGGGTTGCAAACTGCATTGAGATGACAAATTAAAATTCTATTTCTATACTTTGTTAGCGCATATTTAATCGATATTAAAGACAATGTTTCAGAGCTTATTTTCTATTTATAACACACTATCTATGTCGATAATTCAGCTCTCCAAGTATTGTAATATCATTGTAAATTCATGTATCTACTGCAGGTACAATATCTACTAATAATAACTTGGAGACTTGTAAAGATATATCGCAAAGAACTGATGAGACGCACGGTAATAGTCAAAATTTAAGAGATTAGCGCTGTAAATCGTTATATAAAAAAAAAAGATTTGAAATTTTTACGATTAAATATAACAATTAATAACATATCTCTATATTTACGGATAATATTTTTAAACATGTATTTTTATGACATATAAAAAGGAATAGGGAAGAATATCGAAAAATGTGAAATAAATGACACAGTGAGAAGAATATACGAAAATAAAAAATATATTGTACAACTTACATATGCATATTTAAATATTTTGCATGATATTAAAACAACGATATTAAATCGATAACTCCGAATAACGATGTCAATTAGGCACTCGTGGTATAAAATACATTGAGTTCAGCGAGTTGTTCTTCGTAGCATATTAATTTCGATCTTTACTTCGATCTTCCACAGCCAATAATTGCTAGTTAACTGAATAAAACTTCGGTTTTTCTTATGGTGATCAACGTAATTGTGGCTATCTCTTGAATCAATCCGCCGTTGTAAACAAATAATATTTATATCTTTGTAGTTCATTTATAAACTCATGTTTTGTTGCGGTAAAAAATAAAGATCTTATTATTCGGCAATTAAAATATTTTGATAATTGAACCTTTCTTTCGTTATTTTATGTGAAGCAGCTCCGAAACAAGATGCTTACAGTATGCCGGTTAGTAGCCTAAAATCCTTTTCTATCTTTTCCAATCGAAAAACTCGAATAAAGAGACTTTTGAACATGATATCATAACAAAACTAAAACATGATCTCTTAACGGAACGTAAAAACATAAACACTACTTGCTCTTGAACGCTACGATAAGTGTGCTTCAACTTTAAGCGCGTAAATCGGTGCCTAACAAATTCATATTAATTCTGATAGCATCATAAAAATTTTTTTCTATCAAGACGAGTCTTTAATATGCAATTAAATTACTTTTAATATTTATTAAATTTAAGTAGTTATTATTTATACGGTCAACAATATTATAGTGAAAAATTGTAAATATTATTTTTGCGCGAACTATATATATATTGCTTTACTTTCATTATATTATTCAACAATATTTTGCAATAGCAATTTCAGGTATTTTCATTTTACGCTAATTTAAAATATAAGATATAACGTCTTATTATAAAATATATAATATATAATAACTAATATAAACTATGCGCGGAGGCGCGGGACCCAGGTACTCGTCGTCCTTGCTCGCCTTGGGTCTCTCTACCAAATTGTACACAATCTGCTGTCGGAAGGGTACCGCCGCGTACGTCGACGATGAGACTGCCTGTGGCCGCAGCACCACGTGGCTATTGTATTTCCTCGGCAGTATCATCAGTTTGACATCGGTGAAGGGCACGTAGCCCTTGCCGACATCGATATTGTAATCGTACATCAACGGTCGGCCGTAAGGAGGGATGCTGTGTGACAACTGCGACGCATTCGTCTCGCTCTGCGGCTCGAACGCGGCGGAATCGCCGCTTCCGCGAGGAGTCGCGGAGGCCTTTTGTCGATGCTTGGATTGAATATCGTTGAGCTTGCTCGTATCGCTCGAGCCGCCGCTGTCGACCGGTCTCTCCGCGTCCGTGCGATACGGCCGGGAGGCGGGTGATAGACGCGCGGGTGTCGCTATCGGCTTCTCCGTCGGCTTCTCCGGTAATCGTAGTTGCAGCGACGGATACGGAGCAGGCTGCACCAGCAGCCGCTGGACCGCGTACGGCACTCTCCTCTCGATCAGCCGCTCGACGTGGATCGGATAGATATGCGGCACGCGTATCTGCTTCTCGACCATCGGCATTTGCACGTGCACGGGATACAGCTGCGGAACCGCCACCGGCACTGGCACCTGCAGCCGCTTCTCGACCACCCGTTCTACTGGGAACGGCACTTTTCTCTCGATTACCTTCTCGATCTCGATCGGGTGCGGCACGTGAACCGTCTTCTCGATAATCTTCTCGATCGTTGGGTAGGGCCGTGGAATCGGAACCACGAAGGCGTCCTTCGCGGACGAGCCATCGGGAATGATCTTAAGAAGGAGCTGCGTCTCTTCCGGTCGTCTCACGTACGGCGTTCGGAACTGGTGATCGATTGCCGGTTGCTGACTTGATTGCGGCAGCTGCGGCGGCTGCTGCTGCTGCTGCTGTTGCTCGGATCGATACGTCTCGCTCGCTGATTCCTGCCTCGTGGTACCTGCATAGGTGAGGAACTTTACGGCGTGCGGTGACGCGTTGCCGTTATCCTTAAAGCTATGTCGCACGTTGGACTGATCATACGACGTGTCGTCGAACTGATTTGGTACCAGCAGGACCGGCTGCACATCGTTGTACTTGTACGGTTGATACTCGACGGGTGCTTGCTCGGGGCTCGAGGTGTACTCAGCGATCACGGACGAGGCCGTCGGTTTACCGTGGTCATCCTCGAGAGCGTTGTATTGGTGTCGGGTGAGTTTCTGCTCGGACGCGTGCGGTTTAATGACACTCCTTTCGACACTCTGTTCGTTACCTGGAACGGAAGTGTCCTGCATATCATCGCGTTGTCTGCCGCATTCTTCTCTCGCGGGTGAAACCTGGCAATTTGCGCGATGCGTGCTCCGATCCGTAAAATGCGCGCGTATTATTACGCGCATTACATAGACGAGCATTAATTTCGACGTTGCGTGTTAACGAAGCTAGAGCTTGCGTAATACATCTCTTCCGCGAATTTAACGAAAGTTAATATTTCTTCAAAACATATTAGCACGGTTTCTTAACTCTATGAACCGATAAATGCGATAACTGGATACTATGGCGAAGAGAATAAAATTAATAAATAAAAATAGAAAGTACGCGCGTTATCTCATCACATTTTAAATGCTACAATTAAAATTTAAATACTTTTTATAAATTATCTATTTATGGGCGCATTCAGCGGACTCATCAGTTGAGCATCGTCTTGTCAACACTCGAAGTTGATTTGTTAATACTATCCAACTATTGAGTTTGCTGAATGCGCCCAATTTAAATGGGATAAGTAAGAAATCAATCGATAAGGAAAGAGATCGATCGATATAATTTTACATTACCTCGATAAACATTGTAATTCGATCGTGATTCTGATTGCTCATCCTGACCATACGGCTGGTTCGATCTCCCGATATTGTTCGTCTCGATGACGCCAAGGTTCGAGGTCTGCTGGATGTATATCGGAGGATAATGGATCTCGTGCACCGGTGCGGTGTGGTAAAGTTCGACGGACTTTTGAATCTCGACGGAATTCTCGGGTACCTTTTGCGTGATGGCCTCAATCGATGACCTCTCTCCCTCTCTCTCGCGTTGAAAACTCTCATCCTTATAATCCACGCGCGATCGATTTTCGATGTCGCTCTCGACGAATTTTTTATCTACCGTCGACAAACGCTGTAGGTCGTCCTGGAGGTAATCCTGGAGGTAGTCCTTGGTGTTCGTCGCGGCGGATTGCTCGCTGTCGTCCATCGAACCTATCTCACCGGCGTTCACCAGAGCGATGCCGACCTGCAGCGGGTTCAGCATGATAGAGGAAGTTTTTATGCCGTTGGAAGCCGCGGGTCTGGAGCCTTCGGCGTAGCTTCCCGTAATTTCGACGTTCTCAACCGACCTGAACGCTCCGGCCTCGCTGTCGTCGAGATAATCAACCGTCATCTCCGAAGTCTCTCTGTCAGTCAGATCAGGTACTACGATGGGACCTGAGAATTTCACCGGTTGCAATGACGGACTGATTTCCACAGATGTGGACGATGATACTCGCACGACG